TTGCATACCTGGATGACATTATCGCTTTGGGTTGGACTTTAGAAGAACATTTGCAACATTTAAAAGAAAACACTTCAAAACTATTATCTCGTAACCGAAAAAAGGATTCGTATTGCATCTGTGGGCTAAGAAAACTTTGTGAAAAAACATCTTGGTATAGCCGAATTTTATTAGAATTTCAGCACCGTGAAACAAACTATTGAAAAAGAAACAATGATGGAATTGGACTAATCAGCAATCAATTGGACTATCAATTATTAGTTTAAGTATATGCTGATATCACGAAAAATGTTGTTGTCTAAATCGATGCTTCCAACCAATGGTTTGGTGCGGAATGAACACAATCTAGTACAAATTAGACAGGTTAGTACAGACAGTTTAGCAACCATTTGCGAAATAGAAAAGATTATATCTTACCTGGAGGGATACAAATTTAATGTAATTGCAGATCAGCAGTCAAGAACTCGATCAAAGCCCTCTCGAAAGAATAGCAAATTGAGCTACGTATCTACAATGAAGTGATTGCGAAGTGAAAACCCAAAATGAGGTTTAGAACTATGCGCCGATACTTTATCCAGGTCTCCATATCAGCTTCATAAATTCCGAAAAGAAACAGTGTTGAAAATAGTACTGAAACGACCGACGCCCGAAGTGAATCATATTCCCAAGTTGTTTCCTAATTTTTGTATCAGAGACTATAGGTACAAACATTTTTGGGAATCATTGGATCTCATTAAAATGGATATATCAGAGCAATAGAAAATATTAAAAAAATCATTACAAATCTATAGGTAAATCGGTACAATTGCTATGGTTTTGCAACCCAATAAAGTATATCGCTGCTGCCAACCCAAAATGGCACAAAAGACTTTTTTCATGTCTTATTGAAATAGACATTTGCGCAAACTAACTTTAAACCAATATTGTAGCGATTGAAGTTTATTTGCGGTTATGCGTGTTTAACTGTTGGATACAGATTTAAAAATGCTGTTCAACGGTGCAGTAAGTAAAAAGTGACCATTTTGGCGTTTTGTATTGTTTTGGATTGGCAGCGACTATATATGTATACATTTAGTTTGTACCCAAGTTATAAACATTTAGAATGCGAATTTATGCAACGATTATAGACTTCCATAGAGTTATAGTGAAAGAGATGAACCATATTTTTTCTGAATAAGGTTGCAACATAGCATCCGAAACATTAAACAGTGTTTTAATAGCACCGGTCGTGAAAGCCTACGAACTTATAAATAATGAACTATCGGAAGATAGACACGTTTTACCCAATTAATTAGTAATATTTTCCTAGAACCACAGGACATATTAGTCAGCTTTGACGTGGAATCACTTTTTCCGAAGTGCCGGTAAAAGGTGTCGTTAAAGATCTACCAGGAAAACTCATACCAGAGGAATTTCCAAGGTACATCTCAGAACTTGTAGTATCCTCGTCATCGAGTTACTTAAGGTGGAAAGGAGAGTTTTATGAGCAATATGAGGGATCAGCAGCCATGGGATCGCCCTTATAATTAGTCATCGCCGTCTTCTATATGGAGCCGGTTGAAGCAGTATCTATTTATGTTATCTAGAAACATGGCAAATAAAGGCATGATTTCTAAAGGGATTTAAATAGTCAGAATGCAATGATAAAGTTGACTCCTAGATCAGTAACCAGGACCGGCTAACACACGAAGTGTACTGGAAAAAAAGCACACGAACAGGTATCTAGAAGTTTCATCACACCAGCACCCACAGACAGAATGCAGAATGACTTTTAAAAGATGTATTTTGAATAGTTATTTGTCAAAGAATACAGCTACAGATAACAGATACTGTCAGTAGTGAATCTGTGGGCTTCATTTCTCTTTCCTTTGTTTCAGGTATAACGGAACGGATAGCCAGGTGACTAAAAATGAACGACATCATGGTGCGAGTTAAAGTCAGCCAACTACAGAACGCAGCTGTCAAAACAGATTTTGATAAGACAAAAACACTTGCCAGGAGTAGCCGTATTACCAGAGAATGGCCATTTCATAGAAATTCACCATCATAAGAATAATATCAATAGGGAGGATGGTATGGAAAACATAATTACTTAATAATTAGTTACTAGAGTATTGTCCACAATTGGTGATGTTGTCAGTTTTGAACTTGTTTCTGACGAAGGTTGCAACATGACATCCAATACGTCAAACAGTATTTCTATTGTACGGCATACCATAGAAGTGTCTCGATTTAATTTTATTTCCAATAACACCAGCCATAAAAGTCTACTAGCAAATGAAGCAATGGTACTTGACATAATGGTCAGCTGATGACATGGGTTTGTAAAATTCAAAAAGACATATCTTTTTAATTTTTTTATCTAATAGTACATTATGACTAAAATACTTCCGAAAGTTTTAAGTCAATCGGATTAATATTTTGGGAAAGAGAAGTTTTTGAAGTTCTTCTTCTTTCTATACTACATCGCCCAAAAGTCACAGCAAGAAAAGTGCCCAAGCGATTCAGTTCCACGGTGCGGTTGGCATCGTGTTTTAGTTTGTTATCATTCAATTATAATTATGGTCCTTTGCCAAATAAGGTTTTGACAGCTATTAAGCCTATTTCTTGATGATGTTGGCAAGGATGTGCTTTTAAAGCGTTGTATAAGTGACTGCACGTATATTAATAATGAAAGTCCAAACCAGCTAATTTGGAAAATCACTCCAAAATATTTCTAGCTGGTTCCAAAATAGTTGACATTGCTGCATTAGTTGCCGCTTCTACTTCTAATAAAGGGATTTCAGCTCTCTTAATATTTTTCTTGAACGGTATGGATATAAAACATAACTGAAATAACCACGAGTATGTACGGTGATAAATGAATATCGCATCGAGAAGTAATAATTCTTCTCAAAAAGATCAAAAGGTTGCCCTGAACTTTGCAATTGCAGTAGGATTTTTGCTTTGCAGAGTTGATGTCGACGATTCTTTATAAGTTAAAAAACTTGTATCTTCGTTTTATTCCTACTTAATTGCATTTTTCTAAAAACTTATTTTATTTAATTTTTGCACACTTCTTCAAAACAAGATGGTTAGCAATTGAACGAAGGTTTATTTTAAAAGAAACCTATACGTAGTGTATCATATCTTTTACGTTATTATTGTATCCATCAATGCAAGATATTTGAAAAACCAATAGAAAGATTTTTCTTCAATCAAAGCTGGAAAATACTTGTATAGAGAAAATAAATCACTTCGAGCACCAGTTAAACAACAAATAGCAGTAAACATCGATATCAACTATGAAAATAAATATTATTCACTTCGTTTTTTTACCATCATCATCTACTTTTATTTAACATTCTTTAATTATAGACTTTTAAAATTAATTTATACCGTATTATTCACGATATTGTTGTGATTAAACTACATCTGAATTTCCAATTACCGCTCCCTTTGGCCTGATTCAGCTTCCAGTAATAGTTGACAAACTGCCAATCTTAAAATAACTTTACAAAATGAACAATAGTGACTTGTGCTAATTAACTTAGTTCTTTGTTTATTTTTAATTATAATAATTGCACAACGATTTTAAAGAAAAAAAAAACATTTCTAATCGATGTTTATAGACTTTGTACGTTATAATTTTTTCATAAACATTTTAATTATGTTTAATTTTAATTGTTGTAAGATAAATTTTACAAAATTTTTTAACACGAAAACAGTCTATTATCTAATTGTAACTTAAATGTTCGTAAAGTAATGAAAATAATAAACACCATTGTTTTTTTAAATGCAAATTAACCCAACAAATATTCCATTGGATACAAGCATTTTTAGGTACAACACAATTAATCGTTCTAAAAAACATTATTAATCGTTAACGCCTGTTTTTTGTAATTAAAAAAAACAAGTACGGAATATTTAACAAATAATATACTTACGTTTTTTATTCAATAAATATCAAAATTTGAATTTGAATTTTTTTGCATAAACCTTCCACATTTATAATTAGAATACGCGACCTTTAATATTTTGCCAAAATTTGTTATGTACTACGGAAATACAGTTGCTGTGTGCACTTTGCACTCGAAATGCATACTTGGCAATTTGTTGTTGAACGATAACAGAAAAATAAAATATCAAGATTTATGTGAAAATTACGATAATCCACTTAAATACAAAATTGAAAGTGTTAACATTAAGTTATTGACGTGTACACTAAAAAATAAATTAGATTCGACTGTTCTAGAACTTGATAATGAAAGTATCAAGTATCGTTAGAGTAACATTATGAAATAAATAATCTTGAACTCCTGTAATCATTACGAAAACTTTCAAAGAGTTTTCTTTAAATAAAGTCATTGTCCGTCTATATAACATATATTTCGCATTCCAATTCATTGTTACTTTTCCCACGATGTTTATTTTGTATCTTTGAATGTCAATTGAATTGAAAATAACAAACGTATTGACCTTGTGTAGACAAAATTAACGTTTTCGTTTAATTAAACACGAATACCTACAACAAACATTAACAGGTTGACCAAAAACTGTTTTAATTAATTTAATTTTTTAACTTTTTTCCAATTACTTTTAAAAAGTCTCACAAAACAATTTCGATTTCATATAAAATATAAAGTGCTCTAGATTTTATATCTAAATGCATTTGATTTCAAATATTCAACCTTTGAAGCTATAGTTTTTTTATCAACAATATTTCATTGTGTTTTCATAACATTTATAATATGAGGAATTATTTAATATACGTGGTTTAGGTAGATTGTTGTGTTAACCAGGTACATCGACATTTGCATATTTATTTGTTTACACTCACAACGCGCCTCTATTTTTTACGTAAAGAACTGCGACGTAGATTTCTTATGATTCTAAAAATACCTTTTAATTGCAATAGGTAATTTTAGAATCAATTCTTTTAAACTTAAAAATTAGTTCATATTTAAAAATTGCTGACCTGTTTAAAATGTTATATAATAATTATTTTCAGTTCTACTTACCACAAATATATTTCCTAATTTAAATTAAACTTCAACGTTCAACACTAAGTGTCCATCCATAGAATTAAAAATATTAACTCAAAGTGGAACAACGATAGTTGTTTTCAGTTTGAATCAATTTTTACTTGAATAATGAGATTCTTTCACCAAGAGATTTAAATTATTGTTGGATTTTGTTGAAGCACAGTCTGTGTTTAAAGACGAACTGGCTTTAGAATGGTTATCGCGCTTATTATGTGGATTCTCGACACCGGACTAAGGACCGTACACGCTTGTACACACCGCTTCAAGTCTGAATATTCTGAATATTAACGAATTATCGTCTACTTATCGGCGAGGCATGTCGATAACACTATACGTGATCACTTCTGAGTAGTATTATTTTTTTATAAACGTCGACCACTGCCGGGTTCTGCCGGGTTCAGCGACAGCATCAGGCGATGTAGAATGCATCCAAGTTTTTGAATCTGTTTCAAAACACGTGTACTTTTGTGCAGTTTATGTGTGATAAATTGCAATCGTACACATTTGAACATTCCACGTAGATAATGTACTATTTTTATACTTTTCATTTAAATTTTTTTAACGAGAGTATTTTTTTATAAATACTAAATGATAAAAAAAAATATGTGATTTACTTTGCTATAATGTGTAAGAAAAGAGCACTAGATTTAAACTTGATTAATCTGAACAAATTTTAAATTAAATATACCTTATGGTTTATAACATAGAATTTGAGAATAACGATAACTCTTCATCACAAATACAAAAAGAATCCCTCCTATATTTCTACACAATGTCAAACATCATTTTTTTGCGTAAAACATCATTTCAATTAAATCTTTTCATTAAAAGTTAATTTAATATGTAGCAACGACTTTAGAACTCCAACTAAACATTATGCAGAAAACAAATTAGAATTCCACACTTTTCAAGATCCAATTCTTCGTAACATTAATATTTCTGTTACTGAAAATGAAATCTCACAGAAACTGTACCTTAAGATGCCAATAATCACAGTGATCCGTTTATCACAATTGAAAATTTTAAGTCGCTATGTGCGGTTGAATGAATACTTACAGAAAATTCGAAACAAATATTTAACCTTAAAGAAATATCTAATGAATTGTGTAAAAACCAACATTCCACAATGTTTTAACTGTCAAGTATGGACACACAAAACATGTTGTTGCTTACTCAAGCCTAAATGAAGAAAAACGACAGTCGTAAACATGCAAATTGTGGAGAAGAAAAACTATAGAGGATGTAAAGTAGATACGGATATATAACAGAATAACCTACGACAAGTAACAAACAACCCTTACTATCCCATTTAATCAACTATGCCCCATAAAAACTTCTTTAATTTATCAAACATTAATATCCTTAATTTAAATGGCAAACAGTATTAAGAAGCTAACGCAACTACTAATAGCACTTAAAATGTCAATATTGTTTGAATGTCCGAACCCCATTTGGCGTCAGGAACAGTGGCAGTTCATTTAGATATCAATAATGAAATTACTATTATTTATATGCAGATACCGTCACTGTAACATTCATCTAATTGAAAACGATATCAGAAAATTATTTGATAACAATGTGGCAGAAATGCTGATAGGAGACTTGAACAGCAAAAACAAATTTTGGAGATGTAGAGCAGATAATACAAACGGCCAAAATCAATTAAATGTACTTGCAGCGGATGAATATACATATGTTCCTTATCAAAGTGATTATCAACCAGAGATTATAGAAAGTTGTTACAAAAAATATGAATTTTACCCCCTCTAAAAACGGACACACGAGTAGTAACTGAAGAAAAATGAAAAGTTGAATAGTTGCTGCAGATTATTTATAAAAAACATTCCTGCCAAACATAAACAGTAATAACAAGCTATTTTCTATATCTATACAACAAATTAATGAAGATCATCTTTCTTTTAATAAACGGTGTAAAGATCAAATCATACCTTAAGAAATATATGTAATTCTAAAATTCATACCTACTAATAATATCAGCCACACTTGTTCTATTTAAACACAGGTTATTTCCCAACAACATGGAATAAGGCAGAAATATTGGTGCTTTCAAACTGGAAAATAAGAAAAATGAGTACTAAAATTACAAATCTATTAGTTTATTACTAACGCTGTTAAAGATATTTAAAAATATCATTTATACAAGATTATCAAATGAAATTAACGATTTAAGGATTATTTCAAATATCCGGATTGAATTTTGCAACTCACATTCCACCGTCCATCAATGAATAAGATTTTGAAGTTGAAAAGTTTACGGGTTGGCTAGAAGGACTGAAACACAAATTTAATAACATAGATTTACCAAACTTCCTACTAGTAATACTATTATCGATTTTGTAAAAAAATGATGAGTTAATAATTAGGTAAATACAACTAAATCCAAACAATTGTGAGCACACATTTTTAGACAGAAAAAATAAAAATCCTATATTAATAAATAATGATGAAATTGAAATCCAAACTATAAGGTGGTGATATATCTTGGAATTCTTGTATATGCAGCATCAACGTCAATCATAAACTAAACCAGGGATACAACAGGTTGCGCGAAATCTCAATATTGAGTCTGAAATCTCAATATCCCAAAATAGTTAATGTCCCAAATTTTGTACGACTCTGGCTATCCAATTAGAAGCAAATGTGGCGTTTCGAGACTTTTGATTTACTCTGTATAAAACTTTGACAAAATTTCGCGATAATCAATTTTCTTCAAGGTTTGCTAAAATTGACAGGACTAAAATTGAGATGTTCTATGTAATAAAAAAATAAATACAGTGAAGACCGGTTATAACGAGCAGTCAAGGGACCGAAAAAATTGCTCGCTATAGACGGTACCTCGTTATAACCAAGGTTGTCGTAATATGTAACATAAATTTTAATACTTGTGCAAAAAGTAGTAACCAGCAATTTTAAGAACGACTTAAAAAAATCTTTTTGTTTTTGCACTTTTACAATGAAATTTTTGTTTATTTACTATCAGAAATTAATCACTATGAGAAATTTTGTTTGCTTTAAAAGTATACGATTGAAAAGGTAAAAACAAAAAAATACATTATCTTTTAAGACTTTTGATTTACTCTGTATAAAACTTTGACAAAATTTCGCGATAATCAATTTTCTTCAAGGTTTGCTAAAATTGACAGGACTAAAATTGAGATGTTCTATGTAATAAAAAAATTAATACAGTGAAGACCGGTTATAACGAGCAGTCAAGGGACCGAAAAAATTGCTCGCTATAGACGGTACCTCGTTATAACCAAGGTTGTCGTAATATGTAACATAAATTTTAATACTTGTGTAAAAAGTAGTAACCAGCAATTTTAAAAACGAATTAAAAAATTTTTTTTGTTTTTGCACTTTTACAATGAAATTTTTGTTTATTCACTATCAGAAATTAATCACTATGAGAAATTGTGTTTGCTTTAAAAGTATACGATTGAAAAGGTAAAAACAAAAAAATACATTATCATGTTTTTGTCATTTTTCATAACTTTATTGTTTAAGACAGATACAACTACTTAATTAACTAAACATCTATACTATTATACATCTAAAATTAATTTTTATTGAAATATTCTCGGATGTTTTTCAGTTTTATGCTTTTATGTAATAATTCCTGGCGAATATTTTTGTTTATTGTATCGCATGCGAACATACATTCAGTATTGTCCGCATAGTTGGTTAGAATGTAACGTGTCACCCTAGAAAATGCTTTTAAAAATTAATTTTTTGATATGTTTCGTTCTACCTCTTCATCTGATCACCGTCAGATTCATTATCTCTATTCAACACGTTACACATTATTTCAGTGTCAGATAGAATGGAACCAGTAGTAACATCGTCATCGATAGTGGCAAATAAATTTAAATCGATACCGTCTATTTCCTAACCGTTTTTCTCTGCCCAACTAGAAAGATTTAGCTAAGGGAATTTCATATTCCTCGCTAAAACTCTCTGCAAGATTGCCGAATGCATGACGAAAGCAATTCATTATTGTTTCTTTTTTAACATTTATCCATGCGCTGTTTAGCACTATTACGCGTTATAACCGAGATTTTTTACATTGTAAGGATAGGATTTTTCACGGGACTTGGAAGCTTGCTCGTTATAGAGCAGGTGCTCGTTATAGAGCATACTCGTTATAACCGGTCTTTACTGTATATGTATATGAAATGAAAATGATTCATACGATGTTAACCCTTTAGACCTCTATTTATCTCTATGACTTGAAAATCTTTTCTTGACTTTTAATCATACTTATTCTAGAACTGTTTATACCAAATATCAAGTCGCCACGCCCAAGTGTTTGGGTCTTAGATACGATTAGATAACGGCACTAAACCGTCAGAAACAATCAAAGTCATGAACATATTTAAAATCATTTATGATCATTAAAGTGTCATGACTATCACAAAAAACCAAACAATATTCATGTTAATATCTATATTTTTATGTTTACTGGTCTATTCAGTCTAGTTTTTGATTAGAGATGCAGAATCAAATTGCAAAATACTGTTCAATGTAGGGTGAGTTGTCTTTGATGCGTTATTGCCGATACGCTTGGTGTGTTAATACCACTCATAATGGGTAAAATAGTTAAGTTTATGGAGTTTTATGAGGTTATAAAGAGTTGGATGTCATTGAGTAATTTTAGTAAGTTTGTGAACATCAAAACTCTTCTTATTTTTCTGATTATAAATGACTCTTTTACAAGTATTTGTGGAGATATTAGAAGATAATTGATTTTGATCTAAATTATTAACATTTTTTTCTGTTTGTTTATTCTACCATTCTTTAACATATAGAATTTTCTTCACTATGTTTCGAACTCTACATCATTGCTTTTAATTTGAGTTGTCACTCTCGAATATGTTTTCCAATCTTAATTAACATCAATATAATTAACAGTACATACTCTCTTTTTTATTTCATTCTGCACATGTTGGAGAATAATGGGTATTAAAATAACAATAACGATTCTTGCTGTCAAAAAATAACTACAGGTAATTGAATATATTATTTATTATTTTAAAAAAATCAAAGTATAATATGAAACAATAGAGGCTCAAAAGGCTTACACATAGTGTCCACTAATATTGTTACAACATGAAACATTAAATCATCTTAGGCCCACTTTTACCACCTCTTGATAAATTTAACCGATAGATAACTACCATGGTTACAGCGGTTTTAAGCGCTTTCATTGGCTAAGAGCACCATTTTATCTATCAGTTAAATTTATCAAGAGGTGGTAAAAGTAGGCCTTAGGAAATGAATTTTACCCACACCCATTTTAGGTGATTTTACACCCACCTGATCTTTTTTTTAAAGCATCCATCCGTATAATGATGGCTACCTTGACACATTGAATAAGTGGTCCAACCCAAAAATCCATTTCCTCGTTCTTGTTGGATCACATTAAAGATAGTTTTGACGCATTCTACAACATCTGATATGTCATCGTTTAACAGTTGATCACAAGACACACTGCATCCTGTTCCGGGAGGTGAACACCAGTACATGTTATCTATTTGAAATAGACCGAAATGTTACATGTTGCTATTTCATCTTTCGGAAACTTGTATTTATAAAATAAATCTTCAGCTAATTCACAGCGATCGTAAATCTTTCCTGTCGTTATAGTTAATATAGTTATTATAGTTAATTATTATGAACATAACATGTTTAAATGACGTCATGATTGGTTTTAGGTAGAAAACTGGGTACGGTTAAGGTAAGTTAAAAAAAATATTGTAAGCTTTGAATTTATATTAACCGATGTAATGCATGTTATGTGACGAATATGTGTTCATGCCACATTTCCTTGAAATTCCTTGAAATATGCTGTGAACATAAAAAGCAACTATTGACGTATACATTTTTAAGAAGTTTGCAATTTTTTTAATATCTCAAAATATTTTACTATTATATAACCTTATTTACTGCCAAATGAATTACACATGATAGTCGAAAAATACAACAATGCATATAAAGAAATAATGGAAATAATGAGTTAATTACTTCGATGTTATGTTTCTTCGATAACATTGTTGTAATAAGTACTAAAATTGTGACAATTTTTACTATAGTTTGCATGTACTTGATAATTAATTTACTTAATTAGATGCTTAATTTATTTTTAACCGGTACACGCTATTAACGAGAAACTTATACCAGTGGATACTTTTTGAAACTTTTCGGTCCCAATTAAAGCCGCTATTCTGGTTAAGATAATGAATGATGTGAGTGGGGTGTGTTCTTGTATTTCTTTTGTTAATCAAGCTTTTGATATAGTCGGTCATGATCGACTATATACTAAACCAATTATCAATGAAAAGATAAAAAATATTCTGTATAAAATTTGTTGATATCATTGTTACACAATTTGTGGCGTTGTTCTTGTAAAATATTACAAAATGTCTCTTTTAATTGATGGTTGGAACATGAGTTGAGAGTCGAAATCAATAGTAAATTTGGGCAGATAAAATTTATCATTTTTAAAGCAATATTTGTGGTCATAATCTAGGATTGCATGTTAAATTTGTATGAGGAGGGATAGGTAAGTTTAGATAGGAATATAAAGCTTTACTCATTACCAATATCAGGATTTACAATATATTTCTATTCTGTAGGGATTATTTTTCTGGTCATAATACTTCTGTTATTAATGTTAGTGGAGATGGTAGAGTAAAAGTAATTAGAAAATAAAACGTAACATAATCTTTAATTGTACAATCTCTTCACGATTTTTACTATTTATTATTTGGGGTAATAAAATAGTTACTAGAGTAAGCTTTTAACAAATATATTTTTAAAATGATAAGTGTCAATCACAAAAAAATCAACGGACAATTAATATGAATCAATACGGAGCTAAAAGGTTTAAACATTTAAACAACTATATTTAACAATGTTACATTAAACAATATATAATCTTACTTTATATATGATATGGTAATCATTTTAATGAATTTTATCCATACCGATTTAGGGCAATTTTATTGTTACCTGATACTTCTTTTAAAAGCATCCTTCCGTATAACGACTAACATTATTTTTACACATCGAATAAGTAGTCCAAGCCAAAAATCCATTTCCACGTTCTTTTTTGGTGACATCAAAGATAGTTTTCACGCATTTAACATCATCTGATATGTCGTCGTTTAACATTTGATCGCAAGACACACCGCATCCTCTTCCGGGAGGTGAACACCAGTACATATTATCTATTTGAAATAGGCCGAAATCATGACCATCTGGAGATTTTGCTGCAGTGTTGTAACTAGACTCTCGGAAAGCAATACACACCCATGTCGCTATTTGTTCTTTGGGAAAATTGTATTTATAAAGTAAGTCTCTTGCTAAGTCACAACGATCGTAAATCTTTGCTGTTGTTATAGTTATCACGGAAATTATGAATATAACATATTTAAACGATGTCATGATTGGTTTTAGACCGAACACTGGATACGGTTAAGTTAAGTTATTAAAAGAAGTGTTGTTGAATTTATACTACCCGATATTGCAGGTTATCTGACGAATATAATGTATTTTTACAAAAGAGTGGGAATACTCATTGAGTTAAAAAAATATCAGGAGAATGTGTTTATGACACATTTTCTTGAAATTCCTTGAAATGTGTTGAAACATAAAATTAAATAAGATAAAATAATAACTCTTATCAAAGTCAACATGGAACAACCGTGAATTACTCACTATATATTCTGCAATAAATTTTTTTAAACATTTTCTTCTCGGTAATCAGTTTACCGTTTATACCGATTACAAACCTTTGGTCAATTCTTTTACTTCAAAAACTGAGAAGACACCACGACAGACTCGATACCTACATCTCATCACCCAATTTACTTCTAATATTAGATTTATAAAAGGTGATGCAAACATCGTGGCCGATACTCTCTTGAGAATCAATATTGCCGGCCTTGATTTTTCTTATCCCGATTTAAAACTAATAGGAGACGATCAATCAAAAGACATACAATTACAGCATTTAGTTGCTATACAATCGAAAAGCAGCGTTTGCAAATTGTCAAAAATAACTTAATTTTCAAATTTATCCCTCTGTTGTGAGACTTCTTATTCTCATCCAAGACTATATATTCCAGAAAATTTTCGTTATATCGTGTTCAAAAAATTTCATAATTTATCTTATTCTGGATTTCGCGCCACTCTTCATTCCCTCAAAACACGTTTATTTTGGACTCATATGTATGTCGAACAATATAAAACTATGGACCAAAACTTGTCTTTCTTGCCAAAAAACAAAGGTTAACACACACCAAATCTCTTATTCTGAAAGGCAGGTTTGAGCATACACATATTGATCTTGTTGGTCCATTATATGTAGATAGATTTAATCGCTGACAAGAAGCATATCCCCTCAAAAACATAACTGCCTCTTCTACTGCAAACGCTATATATCGTAATTACTTTCCAAGATTCGGTGTTGTACACATCATTACGCATGACCGGAGAAGAAAAAAGATAAAGTAGGTTTTTTTTTGCCTTACTTTACGTAGGGTAATAAAATAGTTACTAGAGTAAGTTCTTTGACAAATATATTTTTAAAATGTTAAGTGCGAATTACAAAGAAATCAACGGACAATTAACATGAATCAATACGGAGCAAAAGTCTTAAACATTTAAACAACTATATTTAACAATGTTGCAACATTAAACAATATATAATCTTAGTTTATATATGATATGTTAATCATTTTAATGAATTTTATCCATACCTATTTAGGGCGATTTTACTGTTACCTGATACTTCTTTTAAAAGCACCCATCCGTATAACTATTAACATTATTTTTACACATCGAATAAGTGGTCCAAGCCAAAAATCCATTTCCACGTTCTTTTTTGGTGACGTCAAAGATAGTTTTGACGCATTTAACATCATCTGATATGTCGTCGTTTAACATTTGATCGCAAGACACACCGCATCCTGTTCCGGGAGGTGAACACCAGTACATGTTATCTATTTGAAATAGGCCGAAATCATGACCATCTGGAGATTTTGCTGCAGTGTTGTAACTAGACTCTCGAAAAGCAATACACACCCATGTCGCTATTTGTTCTTTGGGAAAATTGTATTTATAAAGTAAGTCTCTAGCTAAGTCACAACGATCGTAAATCTTTGCTGTTGTTATAGTTATCACGGAAATTATGAATATAACATATTTAAACGATGTCATGATTGATTTTAGATAGAACACTGGGTACGGGTAAGTTTAGTTATTAAAATAAGTGTTGTAAGCTTCGAATTTATACTAACCGATATAATGCATGTTATGTGACGAATATGAAGTATTTTTGTAAAAGAATGGGAACACTCAGTAGTTAAAAAAATATCAGCAGTATGTATTTACGACACATTTCCTTGAAATTCCTTTAAATGTGTTTGAAACATAAAAAACAACTAATGCCGTATACATTGTTAAGAAGTTTGCTATTTTTTTATTACAAGACGGAAAAGGCCGAAGTTGAACCGAATGCACTAAAGATATTAACCAACGATGAGGCCGTAATAAAAAAGAAAAACATCAGCGCTCAAAACTAAAGAGTATAAAGAGCCCAGGTCAAAATAACATCACCAACAACTTACTCAAACACGGAGGAAAGAACCGAAATCAATAAATAACTACTTTATTGTGATTGGCAAACTAGCACTACAATGCTATTATTTAAAAAAGGCTATAAAAATACCTGGCTGATAATTACTTGATAAGTACAAGAATCATAACAAATAAAACTTTGTTATGAGACAAATAAAGCAAACTCAATCGAATATAACCCACTAACAACTTGTTGTTTCACGAATATAACTAGAATTGAACTGGTGATCTTGCTGGCTAGAATTAAATATCTATTTGTGTTTTTAATGGATTAGATAACTATAGCATCTAATATGTCGTTGTAAATAGATTTATAGTTTTATAACACGTAATAAAACTGGGCAGGTTTTGAAAATTCTTCGTTCTTAAAATTATAAATGTAATTGATTATAGATTATAGAATATTAAGTGTGGAGTATTCCTGCTATAACATTATATTATTTCCAACTTAATCGCGATATCTGCTGTGACAAAATTCTGCTAAAAGATTCATCTGGTATTGAATCCACGGGAAAATCGTCTGACATGCAATAGAGTTTATTGTAAAATATGAAAAAGCTCTATTTGGTAATTACGTTAAAAGTATCTATTGTGTTTTCTACGTCTTGTGGGGAGAAATCATTGATCTTATTGGATTTAGTGCTATAAAAGTCTTTTATGGTCTTAGAATTGTCGCAATTGGTTGTATAGGATATATTAGGTCCATATATTAGAAACCAAACCGTATTTTATGATTTTATGCATGAAAAAATCTTCCACATTTTTTTTGTAACATTCAGTTTCATTCTAGACTTATAATAATAATAAATAATAATAATACATTTATTGAGATACCAAATGTTATAAACAACAATAATAAAAACAAATAAAATATAAAATCAAATAAAAGAATTACGATGGTATTTCTCAAAAGGCACTGCGTCAGTGCTAAAGCAACATTTTGCGATAGACTGGTTTTTCAACAGCCCCCAAATTTGAAACAAACAATATTTATTCAATAGTTAACAAAAATAATATTCAAGAAAAGAAAATAATGTACTATGTATTTTCCTTTTAAATATTTGAAGTCTATGCCTCGGAATGGTAACGGCGTGTCTGCGTCGGACATTAATATTGTGTATATCAGTTCTGAATCTAATTTTATTGTACAAATAGGGTGGACTTTTAAATTTTAATATTTTATGATAGAGGCAGACACAATGTAATATTTTGCGATTTTCCATATTCAACCAACGCGCCCAAGTTAAAGTATGTAAGATATGATCACCTCTTCGGATTCCAAATATAAACCGTAAACATGCATTCTGCATCCTCTGGATACGAGCACTATCAACGCATCTAAGCAGGAATGGTACAGCTGGTCACCATAATTAAAAATTGACAAGATAAGTGTGTCACATAACTAAACCCTCAGTCTTCGGTTTAAAAGATGCTTGCTGCTATATAAGACATTAAGAGTATAATATGCACGCCTAATCAGAATGTTTACATGTTCTTTAAATCGGAGGAAAGAATCTATTGTGACACCCAAGTTACGCGATGGACCAACAATTTCAATCCGATAATTCGAAACAAAAAGAATGACATGACGGAGGTTAGAATAGAAGGCCTATCGGTGGAAGAAGTATCTACAGCCAGCTATGAAAAGGATGAAAATCAACAAGGCCCCAGGACAAGACAAAATCACTACTAAGCTCCTGAAAATTAAGGGGAAAGCTAACAGAAGGAAGACTCCATGAACTGTTAATAACGTGGTGGGAGAATGAAAGGATTTCGGAGAAATGGAAGGTAGGAATAATCGTACCACTGCATAAGAAAGGAGACAAATCTGTATGTAATAATTACAGAGGTATAATGCTGGGTACAAAGTATTATCAAACATAATATAAGAAAGAGTAAAAGCGTACGCGGAGGCAATACTAGGAGAATACCAGTGTGGCTTCAGAAAGAATAGTAATATAAGATAATCCCCAATAAAGTAAGAAATCCTCAAAATATATACATCAAGAACTACTGCTTTCAGAATGGCAAACATTTCGAATACCTATGCAAGCTGCAAATGTAAAGATGAACATGTACAAAGTACTAATAAGACCTGTTCTGACATACGGGGCAGAAACATGTAAGTTAAGGGTGTTCAAAAGGAAGTTGCTTCGAAAGGAATGTATGGAGGAGTGTGTTCAAACGGAATATACCGAAGCTGATACAGTTATGAATTGGCTACGTTGATAGAAGAGAAAATATAGTTTTAATTGTGTCGGCGCGAAGGATTGGATGGTTGGGGTATGTGATAAGAATGGATGGAAGAAGAATAGTGAAAGCCGGAGAAAGACCTAGAAAGTACTGGAAAGATGATGTATGGCAGAACCTGAAGAAGATAGGGGTAAGAGTAAGTAGCGGAGGATAAAGGCAGATGGAGAGGCTAACGTCAGAGACAAAAGCCCATCCAGGGTTGTAGTGCCAAAGGACAAGAACAAGGACATAACTTAAGCAATTTATTTCACTTTTGAATAACTGTTATTAACCCATCCCAACCCTGTCTGTTTCTCTTATCCCTCCTATACACATTGCGTTTGGTAATTCATAACACTGCTATTGGCTTGGAAATTATATGTTGATATATTGTCTGCGTTACTGTTTAAGATATAGTAGTTTAAGTTCGACTTCTTTGTTCAATAAAACAGAACTTTCGGATAAAATTTGCTGGTCACGAAGTTCCGTAGGGGTACAAAATTAGTAGTGAAAGTAATTAACGCACGCACAACAAATAAACATCTATAAAACTATAACAACTATGAAAGGCCTATACCAAAATCGACTGAAAGGAAATATCGATAATGACCCGATAGAAGAAAAAGATCTTGTATTAACGACAGCTGGTAGAAATTGAAGAATAATGTTTAAGAAACAGCAATCGGAGCTTTTGGAACTCATAATGTGAGACAGCAAAAACAAGCTCGACACAAATTGCCATGGTTTGGCAATTAATTAGATGTCAAAGATCAGAAGTAAATGAATTTGTTAACACCAGGTACATGGAAAGAGATGTTTGAGTAAAATATCCAGAGGAGCGTTACAAGAGCGAAAAGGCCGAAGATGAACCGAATGCACTAAAAACAACGCTCCAAAAGCTAAACAGCAAAAAAAGCCCAGTCCAAGATAACATCACCAATGAGTTACTCAAATACAGATGAAAGAACCGAAATCAATAATTAACTATATTAATGTGATTAGCGAACTCGCACTACAATGCTATTACTTAAAAAAGACTATAAAAATGCCTTGCTGATAATAACTTGATAAGCAGAAGAATCATAACAAATAAAACTTTGTTGTAAGGCAAATAAAGCAAAGTCAATCGAATATAATCGACTAGCAACTTGTTGTTTGAGAAAACCCCACACGAATATATCTAGAACTGAACTGGTGATCTTCCTGGCCAGTTAATGGAACCACTATTTTCAATCCACTGTAACACAAACAATTCATTCAAAATGTTCTTGATGTTTCGCGTATTGTGGGAAGGTGCTTCATCCTTTCTGAACATTGCGATAAAATAAGGTCTTACTATAAAATCACCTAATACACCAAGTCATGCATTAATAGGAAATCGTTATGAAATCTGCATTCCTGAAATTGACAGTAACAATCATTTTTGCCATTAAAAATTCTGTTATTATATTTCTGTTATCATCGCTAAAAAGTATTAAGGTTAATACATTTAGATTGCTGTTCACCCAATTAGAAAGTATCAATCTCCGGTCAAAATCATCATCTCTTAAACCTTGTACTAACTTAATTTTAGTCTAAGTCATTTCATGTCACTGTTTGAGGTATTAAATTTCAAATACTAAAAAATCTTCATCATTTAATAATCACCAATTTCGTGGTATTTAAGATGAAAATAAAGTAAACTATGCAGCAATTTATAACAAAGTCAGTTTAGACAAAGAATAATTAGATACTGTCACAAATAATTTCATTTGTTTCGCTGCTTACAGTTGTGATTAAATCTACAATCTAAGTAAGCGTGTGTTTGCTATTAACTATCAATTTGTGTTTTTAATGGATTAGATAACTATGCCATCTGATATAGCGTTGTACATAGATTTATACTTTTATAATACATAATAAAATTGAGCACGTTTTAAAAATTCTTCGTTCTTAAAATTTTGAATGTAATACCTATATCTAACACATTTAATGCTCAATTGTTTTTTTTTAATATGATAGATTATAGAATATTAAGTGTGGAGTATTCCTTCTATAACATTATATCATATCCAACTTAATCGAGACATCTGCGGTGATAGCTAAAAGTAAACACACTGTATAACCTAAAGATGGATTTTTTATCTTATTTTGTAATTAATTAAAATATCGAACATTTTTAAATTGTTGTTGATAGCTATGGAGACATTATATCTTGAAATCACTTTTGAATATTGTTAAAAATGGGGTTGAGGGATGTTAGAACGAAACATTTATTCAGAAATTTTTTATGTGTATATGATCCAGGTTTGGTTGTTATGAATATTAAAATAAATACTACAGGTTCGATACTGGATATCAGTTATCAATACCTGCATTCAATATATTATGTTGTATCAGATGTCGACAGAGGTATTTTTAAGATTCTGAGGAACAAAAACTTTAATGCTGCTTCCTTGTGTTTGAAGGAATACAATCTGAGCATATTGGTATGATATATACGATTAGAGATGTAGGTATCTGTAGCTGTGGATTTTCTGAAAATATTGAATTACGGCATATGATTGATTAAACTTTGAGAAATAATTAAGCCTAGAAAAATTATTTTGTTACTTTCAAATTTAATTGTAAATTCTAGCTTATCCAGAGCTTTGTTCGTTGGGACTGCACTAACTTGCACCGGCTGCACTAAATTGCACTGCACCTGGCTCAACGAACAGTATGAATGCAACTGCACTAAACTGCACTATCCCCAACGAACACACAACATCTGCACTAAACTGCATAGTGCAAGTGGGTGCAAGTAGTGCAGTTCCAACGAACAAAGCTAAGTTCAATAAGTGCAGTGTAACTAAAATGGCGGAATATTTGAAAGCGTTTTTTTTTATAATAATTAATATTAATATAAATATTAAGAAATAAAACCTTATAATAATTAATATTTGTTGTATTAGAGAACACAGTACATTCAATACCAGTAGAGGCAGTAGAAAACTACCCCTACTTTTTTGGAATAATTTAAAAACTACCTGTTGAGTTTGGCTTCATTAAATACACTTATAGTACATTTAAAAATATTAATTATGTGTTTTTTCTTATTTAGGGGTGGCTGGGGTTAACTACCGTCACCACCCCAAATTTTTTTTTTCAAGTACTGCTTATCGATTTTGGTGCAATTTAGCATGTGATTTCTTTATACGTTAAGTAGTACTTTTGAAAAAACTAATAAGGCTTAGTAGTTTGGTATAGAAAATATATTTCGCTAATAATTGAAAAAAATAAAAAATAATAATAATAATTAATGAATACTAAAAAAACGCTATTAAAAAACATTCTGCGATAATTTCATTTTCCACGAGTATTTCGCTGACAATCTCCTGTTCGTCCATTTCAAATATTATACACTTTTTTGATAAAAATCTGTTCGTTGGGACCACGGTTTATACACTTTTCTGACCTGCACTAAGTTGACATGACATTGCACTGACTTACACTTCATTGCACTATGACGTCATACGAGTGCCATGTCGTGCAGAGTAGTGCAGTCCCAACGAACAAAGCTTAGGTTGTTTAGGGAAGCTTTTATTTGTTTTAGTTCCGTCAAAAACTATCAAATGCCGACAACATATTTACCAAAGCATTGAGTATACTATTTGAGTGTTATTTATTAGAGAATAATCGATTCTTTAGATTATTAAGACAAAATTCTGCTGAAAGACCCGTCTGATAGGAAACCATGGGTAAATTGTCCTAAATACTATAGAATTTATTGTAAAATATGAAAAACATTATTTGGTAATTATGTTAAAAGTATCTATTGCATTTTCTTCGTCTTGTGCGAAGAGATAATTGACCTTATTGGATTTATTGTTATGAAAATGTTTTATGGTCTTAGAATTGTCGTAATGGGGTCATACACACTTATTAAATTTAGAGAAAAATTTTTTATGTCAAACGATATATGCAAGTATATGCATGAACACAAAGTAAAAGAAATATTTTGATCAATTTTATATTTTGCGTAATTTGAAGTGAAAAATAGCAAATATTCAAACGAAATAATTTCGCGGCTTTTCTGTGACGTAGGAACCGCACTACCTAAAACAAGTTAAATTGTCCGTTAGATAGCGCTTGCGGTGTGACAGTGTCAAAATAAAACCATGGATGTAATAGAGTGTCTATTACATCCATGAACAAAACATAATAAACATAACCTACAAACACTCTATCTCTTTTCAATACAACCTAAATGACGTTCATCTCTTTTTCGCATTTGAGCGGGTAGCAGGGGACGCAAAAGTGAGAATCGTACGTCATCAACGGGGGAATTTTAAAAGCGCAAATGGGTATATAAATTTTCAATAATTTTTTTAACAATGACTGTTCGAAAATATTAAAAAAAAAAATAACGGTATATAGTTAGTTATATTTTATGTAAACTTTCAGAATATATAATAAAAAAAAATCGTGTATGACCCCATTCCGTAAGTTCCTTATGTCCAAAGAAAAGAACAGTATTTTATGATTTTATGCATGAACAAATCTTCCACTTGTAACAATACCAGTGATCCACAACGTGATTAATAGTAGGTTTCCTTCTTTCCATTTCTGAATGAGAATTGGGCGGAAATAACATTCTTCAACGTGCTAATATTGTTCTTACCATCAAACACAAAGTGCAAGTAATTGAAAAATAAATCGTAAATTATACAATCTTTTCACTGTTTTTACTATATTGTTATCTAGGGCAATAAAATAGTCACTTGGGTAAGTTTTTTATATACAATATTTTTAAAATGTTGAGTACCAATAACAAAAAGGTCAATTAATATGAATCAATACAATTAATATATAAAGGTGGACACTTAAAACTAAAGAACTATATTTAATAATTTTACAACATTAAACAATAATTCGTTTTAGCTTACGTATTATAAATCATTTTAATGAATTTTACCCACACTCATTTTGGGCGATTTTACACCTTTGTGATGCTTCTTTCGAAAACAACCGTCAGTATAACTATTAACGTTATCTTGACACATCGGATAAGTGGCCCATGCCGAAAATCCATTTCCAGTTTCTTGTTGGGTGACATCGTAGATAGTTTTGACGCATTTAACATCATCTGAGATGTCGTCGTTTAACAATTGATCACAAGACACACCGCAGCCTGTTCCGGGAGGTGAACACCAGTACGTATTGTCTATTTGAAACAGACCGAAATCATGACCATCTTGAGATTTTGCTGCGGTATTGTAACTGGACTCTTTGTAAGCAATACAGACCCATGTTGCTATCTGATCTTGGGGAAAATTGTATTTATTAAGTAACTCATTAGCCAATTCACAATGATCGTAAATCTTTCCTGTCGTTATAGTTATCGAAGAAATTATGAACATAACATATTTAAACGATATCATGATTGGTTTTACGTAGAACACTGGGTACGGTTAAGTTAAGTTATTAAAAGAAGTATTGTAAACTTCGAATTTATACTAACCGATGTAAGGTATGTTATGTGAAGAATATGAAGTATTTTAATAACAACTGGGAACATTCATATATAAAAAAAATGAAAAATATGTTGATGATACCTTGAAATTGTAACAATAACATATAAAACAACTGCTATCGTTTAAACTTTTAAGAATCTCGCTATTTTTCTATTAGACGAAAATATTCCACATATTATTTGGGTTAGATGCAATTCTATTTATTGCCCATAAAGGATCATGAAGGTCGTAAAGCATAACTGCACAAACTATACAAATAGGAAAGATGGTGGATTAATTGTAGCACATTAGTAATAATTAATTTTAGGAAATCGAGGTTAAATGAAGTATAAGGAAAAGATCCATATTAATTCGATAACTTGGTTTTTTATTTTTTTCCGCTTGTTTTTAGCAAACACAGTTAGCGTAAAGGGTACTTTCATATCTAATGTACTAAGTGTAACAAAGTCTAGAAACAGTTAATTTTTTCATAAATGAGTAGCTGGAATTATACAAAATTTGGGCATAATAAAAATGTGCTCCGTTGTTAGTTTGACAATAGGGTACTGTCGAAGGTAAAATTGGTCCATTATATTCCTCCATTATTCTGCGGAAATTAATCAATAAGTAAATAAATTAATAATACATTAATATCATGTTACAGCATGCTCGAATTTTACTGAGAATTGTGATTGAAATATGGTGGATTCCAGTTGCAGGTTAGATTTCAGCGATGATGTAATAGACAATGTATTGCATTTAAAAATTCAAAGTGACTCATAATATCAGAAAGAAACGGTAAATTTGGCAATATTGCGAATATGAAGTCAGGAATATTTCGCAATGTTTTCAGCCACTATCTTTTTTTTTAGTTTCCGTTGTTGTAGTATTGACCCGTTAGTTCTCCTCTGTGTCTATTAAAGGGTAGCAAAACATCACCGGGGCATGGATTTTCGTGTTGTGCGTTCTTTTTAACAACTAACACTCTGATCCGTACAGAAAGATATAGCAAATCAGGCTTCTTACCAACCTCATATTCGTTATCAAAGAGATTGCACGACTTTTCCATATGTTTAATAGTCTAGTTATGGCTTCCTTCGCTAGTGCGCTTCTCTTGCTACTCTTTCCGCTGGGGCCCCCGTTCGTTAGAGATTAACGAGTCAAAGTAGATGACCGTTATCGTATACAGGATGTTCCTGTAAGTCGTGGCATAATTTCAATCTCAAATACTAGAGTTAAAATGATGATGATTCGTGTAAAAATATTTGGTCTAAACCCATAAATGGCTAAGATATGGGCCTTCAAAGTTAAGAAATTTTTAAACATTTTCTCAAATACTTTGAATATTGTTTTGTCTTAGAAAGATAAAATTTGGTACACAGTGCAATTTTATCATGAAAAATCGTTTAAGATCAGTTTTGAAAATATGCAACCACGGGATTAATGCTATACAGGGTGTTCACAAAGGTTATTTCTTTAAAAAATTTTCATTATGTCATAAACCCTTAAATTTTACAACTGATTCCAAAAGCCTATTTCATTTTAAAATTATTTTCACTATTAGACATATTTGTTTAGACGCATCGTTTTCGAGTTATTCGCAAAAAGATACAACCTCGATTATAAAATGTTTTCATTAATCGTAGGTGCCTATGAAAACAAATTGTAACTTTAAAATGACAAATAATTACAGTTTTAGTGAGCAAACTAACATGCTTTTAACGTTGGGAGAGTGTTTAGGCAATGCTAATCCAGTGGTGAGATGATATTGCAAATAACTGATAATACAGTTGATATCAACAGTTCGGACATTTCGGAATATCCAGAAGTACGGCTTGGCGTGTGCCATGCGAAGAGCAATTGTATCCATACCACTTGTCGACAGTACAAGAATTAAAAATTGCTATCATCCGTTGGGAGTACAGTTTTGCCATACTATGATGGAAATATGTAATATTTATGCTGCGTGCACACATAATAATCTCTTTTTAATTTAAGTGTATATGTCGTAGGCAAATGGTTGTTTCGGGTAAATAGCTTTTTTCTAGTCAGATACTATCTGCCTAGGTAAATAGTTTTATTCCATTTATTTCAGTCTAAATTCTACTTTCCTAGGCAAATAGCATATGGCTAAAATATTTTCAGGCAAATAGCTCTTTAAACCAATCCAACCCATGGTGGTATCATCGGCGTACGGAATGTTATTAATTTTTAATAATTGTTTTTTGTAATTAATATTTTATGCCACCCATTGTTACTTCTCCATTAGGGTCTTCCAAGGCTTTGCTCATGGTCCACTCGCCATACATGTTGAATAGGAGGAGAATGAGTATCCACCCTTGCCTGACACCCTTTTCCACCTGAAATTGGTCAGTTACCTCGTTCTTAGCTCTTACGTATGCTGTATTATTCTCGTAGAGACTCTTGATGATAGTTATGAGGTGTCTTGGTACGCCCATTTCATGCTATAAAGCATAAATAAGTAGACATGTTACATTTTCTGACTTTTTCTATGATTTATCTTATGTTCAATATTTTTTCTCGCGTTCCAAGCTCTGGCACAAAGTCTGCTTGCTCCAGTGGTTGTTGTGACAATATATAGAGCTTTAGGCGATCCGCTGTTATTTGGAACATCACTTTGCTCTCTGGAACCTTTTTTGTGAAGTGGGACATATATAGATTTAGTTCAGTCCTTGGTTCAATACTATCATTTCGGACATGACGTTATCTTCTCCTGGTGCAGCACTTACTTCTTCTTTCATAACTGAGGGCACCCTTTCGCTGTGCTCTATTTTTAACTGTTAGTTATCGCGGTTTCTATTTGTTGATATTAGTTGCTTGTAGTAACTTTACAATTTTAATAGCAAGCAACTTTAATAGCAAGTTACAAATGTGTGTTAACAAAAATGGTAGGATTTTTGGGAGAATTAGAGTTTGTTAAAGAATGTTTTGAGACAAGGAGTCCTTATATTTTTCTAATTGGTCTTAAATTAAAAATTTGTATGAAATTTTAATAAAATCGTGTAATCGAATGTGATGATGCTTTTCCTGGATATGCATTTGTGATTTTTCGTATAAAGTAGAATTTAACATTACTTCAACATGAAATGAACTCTTTGTAGGTTTTAAATATTTACAAGTAATTTACCACTTTCTGGGAAAGCCCCCAACAATTTATCTATACAATTATTGGAATTCAAGAATAAAAAACAATGCGAGAAAGATGTTTTTCAAGTTATTTATTATTTATTAAATTATATATTATTTAAAGGATTTATTAAATGCCTAAGCTATTTTTAACGTAAAATGAAAAGAATTTACATAATTTCTTCCCAAGACATGCTGCAATATAAATTGTTTTAACCGTTGCGTCGGAATTTATAATTACAAATTTAAAGGGAAATCTCAATTCCTCAAAATATATTTCTTAAACATATATTTTTAAAATGTTAAGTGCCAATTACAAAAAAAAAATCAACGGACAATTAGTATGAAGCAAAACGGGGTTGAAAGACTTAAACATAACTAATTTTGTCCCCGAAAATTATGTCAACAGCTGATTCATAGGCGCACAAATAAATGTAATCTCAATTGAAAACTTAAAACTAAACAACTATATTTAACAATGTTACAACATTAAACTTAGTTTATATGTGATATGGTAATCATTTTAATGAATTTTATTCATACCCCGTTTTTACGATTTTACACTCACCTGATGCTTCTTTTAAAAGCATCCGTCCGTGTAACGATTAACATTATTTTTACAGTTTGAATAAGTGCTCCAAGCCAAAAATCCATTTCCCTGTTCTTTTTGGGTGACATCAAAGATAGTTCTGACGCATTTAACATCATCTGATATGTCGTCATTTAACATTTGATCGCAAGACACCCCGCATCCTGTTCCGGGAGGTGAACACCAGTACTTATTATATATTTGAAACAGACCGAAATAACGACCATTTGAAGATTTTGCTGCAGTGTTGTAAGTGGACTCTCGGTAAGCAATACAAACCCATGTCGCTATTTGTCCTTTGGGAAAATTATATTTGTAAAGTAAGTCTCTAGCTAAGTCACAACGATCGTAAATCTTTGCTGTTGTTATAGTTATCATGGAAATTATGAATATAACGTATTTAAACGATGTCATGATTGGTTTTAGGTGGAACACTGGTTATGGTTAAATTCTTAAAAATGGTTTGTATACATCGAATTTATACTAACCGATGTAATGCATGTTATGTGACGAATATGAAAAATTTTTGAAAAAGAAATGATAAAAATTAAAAAAGGAATAACAGAAGAATGTGTTCATGTAACATTTCCTTGAAATTCCTTGAAATGTGTTGAAACAAAAAATAACTAATGTCGTATACATTTTTAAGAAGTTTGCTATTTCTCTAATATCTCTAAAACATTTTACTATATATCCTGTTTAACTCGCAACAGATATGTAAACCTATTTACTGCCAAATAAATATAAAAAATAAAACGCTGCACTATAAATAAATAAAAAAATCATGGGTTAATTACTTTGGTGTAATATTGCTTCGATGTGATAATATTATTATAACAAGAACTAAAATTGTCAGTAATAAATAGCGAAAGTAATTAACGCACGAACAACAGATAAAAATCTATAAAACTATAACAACTGTGAAAGGCCTATATCAAGATCAACTAAAAGGAAGTATCGATAATGACCCGATAGAAGAAAAAGATCTTGTATTAACGACAGCTGGAAGAAATTGAAGAATAATATTAAAGAAACAGCAATCGGAGCTATTGGAACTCAAAATGTGAGACAGCAGAAACAAGGTCGAAACAAATTACCATGGTTTGGCAATTAATTAGATGTCAAAGATCAGAAGTAAATGAATTTATTGACACTAGGTACGTAGAAAGAGATACTGGAGTAAAATATTTAGAGGAGTGTTACAAGAGGGAAAAGACCGAACTTGCACCGAATGCACTAAAGATTTTAACCAAGAATGAGGCCGTAATAAAAAAGAAAAATATCAGCAGTCAAAAACTAAAGAGCAGAAGGAGCCCAGGTCAAGATAACATCACCAACAAGTTACTCAAATACGGAGAAAAGAACCAAAATCAATAAATAACGATTTTAATGTGAATGGCGAACTATCCAATCAGATTTGTTTGAGAAAACCCCACACGAATATATCTAGAATTGAACTGGTGATCTTGCTAGCTAGTTATTAAAACCACTATTTTCAATCTACTGTTCGCGTATTGTGGGAAGGTGCTTCATCCTTTCTGAGCCACATTGTGATAAAATAAGGTCTTACTATAAAAACACCTAATACACCAAGTCATGCATTAATTATTCTTTAGATTATTAAGACAAAATTCTGCTAAAAGACCCGTCTGATAGGAACCCATGGGTAAATTGTCTGAAATACTATAGAGTTTATTGTGAAATATGAAAAAGCTCTATTTGGTAATTATGTTAAAAGTATCTATTGCGTTTTCTACGTCTTATGCGAAGAGATCAGTGATCTTATTGGATTTAGTGTTATGAAAATGTTTTATGGTCTTAGAATTATCGCAATTGAGTGTATAGGATATATTAGTTCCTTATGTCAAAAGAAAAGAACAGTATTTTATGATTTTATGCATGAAAAAATCTTCCACAACGTGATTAATAGTAGGTTTCCTTCTACCCATTTCTTTCCGAAGCTGTTGAGAATTGGGCGAAAATAACATTCTCCAACGTATGCTAATATTGTTCTTACCGTCAAACACAAAGTGCAAGTACACGAAAAATAAAAGGTAATATAATCTTAAACTATACAATCTTTTCACTGTTTTTACTATTTGTTATCTAGGGTAATAAAATAGTCACTTGGGTAAGTTTTTTATATACTATATTTTTAAAATGTTGAGTACCAATAACAAAAAGGTCAATTAATATGAATCATTACAATTAATATATAAAGGTGGACACTTAAAACTAAAGAATTATATTTAATAATTTTACACAACATTAAACAATAATTCGTTTTAGCTTATGTATTATAAATCATTTTAATGAATTTTACCCACACCCATTTTGGGCGATTTTACACTTTTCTGATGCTTCTTTCGAAAACAACCGTCAATATAACTATTAACGTTATCTTGACACATCGGATAAGTGGCCCATGCCGAAAATCCATTTCCAGTTTCTTGTTGGGTGACATCAAAGATAGTTTTGACGCATTTAACATCATCTGAGATGTCGTCGTCCAACAGTTGATCACAAGATACACCGCATCCTGTTCCGGGAGGTGAACACCAGTACTGATTGTCTATTTGAAATAGACCGAAATCATGACCATCTTCAGATACTTCTGCGGTGTTGTAACTGGATTCTTTGAAAGCAATACAAACCCATGTTGCTATCTGATCTTGGGGAAAATTGTATTTATTAAGTAACTCATTAGCCAATTCACAATGATCGTAAATCTTTCCTGTCGTTATAGTTATCGAAGAAATTATGAACATAACATATTTAAGCGATATCATGATTGGTTTTACGTAGAACACTGGGTACTGTTAAGTTAAGTTATTAAAAGAAGTATTGTAAACTGGGAATTTATACTAACCGATGTAAGGTATGTTATGTGAAGAATATGAAGTATTTTAATAATAACTGGGAACATTCATATATAAAAAAATTGAAAAATATGTTGATGATACCTTGAAACAGCAACAATAACATATAAAACAATTACTGTCGTATAAATTTTTAAGAATCTCGCTATTTTTTTTATAGATGAAAATATTGCACATATTATTTGGATTAGGCGGAATTCTATTTATAGCCCTATAAAGGATCATGAAGGTCGTAAGGCATAACTGCGCAAACTATTCAAATAACAAAGATGGTAGGTTAATTCTAGCACATTAGTAAGAGTTAATTTTAAGAAATCGAGGTAAAATGAAGTATAAAGAAAAGATCAATATTACTTCGTTAACTTCATTTTTTATTTTTTTCCGCTGTAGCAAACACAGTTAGCGTAAAGGTTACTTTTCATATCTAATATACTAAGTGTAACAAGGTCTAGAAACACTTAATTTTCTCATAAATGAGTAGCTGGAATTATACAAAATTTGGGCATAATAAAAATGTGCTCCGTTGTGAGTTTGACAATAGGGTACCGTCGAAGGTAGAATCGGTCCATTATGTTCCTCCATTATTCTGCGGAAATTAATCAATGAGTAAATAAATTAATAGTATATTAATATCATGTTACAGCATGCTCGAATTGTACTGAGAATTGTGATTGAAATATGGTTGTACACTTGTTGAAATTTAGATTTCAGCGATGAAGTAATAGACAATGTATTGCATTTAAATACACCCACTTGACTACCCACTTAGGAGTAAATTATACGTTCCCAAAATAAATTAGTTAAGTTATTTTAAATGGAATGTTGTAGTTTTTATGACATATTCATATAGTTTATACTAAAATAGGTTGGCTTTGATAGAGATTGTCGATACCTATAGCTATTCGTTTCCCAACTATTTTAATTTTAATTTTCATTCAACAGTTATCAATCAGTCAAAAATAATACGGCCTTTTCAAAAAATCATATCGACTGTATTTTTAAGGGTCATGGTATGATAGGTATGTTAAATTGAAGCTTAAAGATTCTAGTTTATGGTATGATATAAAAACTATAACGATTTAAATTCTATTTAAAATAACGATTTTGTGGTCAACTTCCCGTGAACCTGAAGTGAACAAAATTTCAGAAGCGTAGGTGCAATGGAACCAAAAAAGCAGGGTTTTGCTGCCTTTTTTCTTCTGATGCCGCAATCAGGGTGGTATCATCGGCGTACAGAATGTTATTAATTTTTATGCCACCCATTGTTATTCCACCTTCAAGGTCTTCCAAGGCTTTCCTCATGGTCCACTCGTCATACATGTTGAATAGGAGGGGATTGAGTATTCACCCTTGCCTAACACCCTTTTCCACCTTAAATTGGTCAGTTACCTCGTTCTTAAATCTTACGTATGCTGTATTATTCTCGTACAGTATCTACAGATACGTGTCTTGGTACGCCCATTTCATGCTACAAGGCATAAATTAGTGGGCATGTTAAATTTTCTGACTTTTTCTGTTATTTATCTTATGTTCAATATTTGTTCTCGCGTTCCACGCCCTGGCACCAAGTCTGCTTGCTCCAGTGGTTGTTGTGACAATATGTAGAGCTTGCTCTTTGGGACCTTTTTTGTGGAGTTGTACATATATCGACTTAGTTCAGTCCATGGACCATCCATTCTGATCCCAAATCAGTTGGTATATTCAGTGCATAACATCGATTCCCGGATCTCCTAGTGCTGTTATCATTTCGGCCATGACGTTATCTTCTCCTGGTACAGCACTTACTTCTTCTTTCGTAACTGAGGGCTCCCTTTCGCTGTGCTCTATTCTTTATTGTTAGTTATCACGGTTGCTATTTGTTGACATTAATTGCTTGCAGTAACTTTACAATTTTTTTGTTGAACTGAGATTTGTCAGTCAACAATGTTGGATCTTATTGCTCACTGTTTTGGAGTGAAGCTGCTCGTTATCTGTCTAATTTTTTTGAACATATAGGTTTTGTTTCTGTATATGTGTTGTTCTATTTCTAAACACATGGCGTTAAGGTACTTGTTCCTATCTTTTCTGCCGTTGTTTTTTATCTCTCTACATTCTGTTGCGTGTTTCATTTTATCATCATTGTCTCGCAAACCTTTGATTTTTAGTTGCTTCCTCCGTTCCATACGATCCCAAGTTTCCTGTGATATCCAGCAACTTTAATAGCTAGTTACAAATGTGTGTTAACAAAAATGATAGGAATTTTGGGAGAATTAGATTTTGTTAAAGAATGAGATGTTTTGAGCCAAGGAGCTCTTATATTTTTATAATTGGTCTTAAATTAAAAATTTGTATAAAATTTTAATAAAATCGTGTTATCGAATGTGATGATGCTTTTCCTGAATATGCATTTGTGATTTTTCGTATAAAGTAAAATTTAATTTTATTTATTAATGAAGAATTTTAATTGAAATTGACACAAAATGTGAATTTCATGTTACAAATATTTACAAATAATTTACCACTTTCTGGGAAGACTCCCAAGGACTTATTTATGCAATTATTGGAATTCAGAATAATAAACAATGCGAGAAAGATATTTTGCAAGTTATTTATTATTTATTAAATTATATATATATTTGAAGGTTTTATTGAATGCCTAAGCTATTTTTAACTTATTAAAGAATTTTCATAATTTCTTCCCAAGATATGTTGCAATATACATTGTTTTAAACGTCGCGGCGAAATTTATAATTACAAATTTAAAGGGAGATCTCAATTCCTCAAAATGCCACGTTTAGAAACAATTTGATATATACTTGTCACCGGCATCTTTGCACCGGTAATAACCGGCCCAAGCTAAAAATCCATTTTTTCGTCTTCTCAAAGTTTCATTGTAAATCTTTTTGGCACACATTACGTCATCAGAAATATTATCATCAATAAGATGATCACACAATAAATCACAGCCTTTCCCGGGGTAACACCAATATTCTTTACTAATTTGAAAGATTCCATAATATTGACCACCTGAACCAACTGCGGACGTATTTAATCCAGATTCATATGTTGCTATACACACCCAAGTTCCCAAGTTAGTAAAAGAAATTTGATGGATGTGTAAAAGTTCTTTTGCAAGTTGGCATTTGGTGTATATTTTGCCGGATGTTAAAACATAGGGAAAAAGCAAAAATAAAAAAATCATTCTTTAAGAATTTTTAAATACAGAAAAACTATTCAAGTGAAAATAATTTTTTCTTATATACCCACCCGAAACAGGTGATAATTGAGCAATTTTATGGTAACAATTTAAGTAATAGCTTCGTTGACCTACTTTTCAGATATCTTTTTGACTTAAATGTTTATTTACGTAATAAGGAACTTCATAAATTAATAAACTTTTCTAATTATATTTTATTTTTTAATTTATTTTATATTAAAATCTAATTATAAATGCATTTTATTTTAGTTGAGCCAACCGAATATATTCTCGATTATCGCAAAGTTTTATAGAGTCATTAAACCCAAATGTAATATTAACGTAATGTATTTAAGCGATAGATAACAGGGATTAGATAATATAATCGAATTTTTGAACGCTACCATGTGTGCTATATAATTGGACAAGATAATCACATCTTTCCGATAACATCATGAAAAGCCTAATACCTTTGGAATCTACCTATAACGATTAGGACGTTATCATGTATTATATTGACATCAATAAATCATCTCAACACATTAATACGCCTTAACAATTAGTTTAAAATTAAAAATGAACATAGTAACTCCCGATTTTATAACCAATTTCAAAATTTTATTTTCAACAATTCAATTTTTGCTGTTGAAAATTTTTATTAAAATCAGCCTTGAGATTGTATTACTTCGGCCTTTCCAACCGCGGTACATATTCCCTTGATTCGTTAGAGATAAATGGACTTTGGAATAACTACCTATTTAGAAACTATAAACTTTTAAGCATGTTCTTAATTCTTAATCGCGATAATAAAAAGGATTGTTACGAGTTTTAATAAAAAATAAAAAAACTAAGTTTCATCATAAAAAAATAAAGATAATCGCCAAGATAATTTTAATTGAATTGATTATGACGCTTGGCCTTTATACTTTGACCTTGGTTCTAACGCACTTGGGGGTGTCGACTGTAATCTCACCCATCAATAATTTTAAAATGTATTTTATAAGTAAAAAACCTAAATAATTTTAATACTGATAACAAAGTCAATAGAAATAATGAATACATTCTTTAATATGTCCTATTGTATTTTTGTATACTTACCTTGTATTTTAAAATTAGATATATAATAATGATTGTAAATAATGAAATTTCTAGATAAATTTTAATCAACTTTTTTACTGCTAAACAATCGTTATTTATAATAAAAAAAAATACATTTTTACTTTAATTTATCTACTTTTAGAACATCTGTAGTTTCAGCCACTTTCAAATAAATTGTTGTAGTTTCGACCTCATTTATTTCTTCTTTTATAGTTTCATTATCATCTTTTTCCGTTGTAATACGTAACTTCTCAAAACACCCCTTAATATATTTATTAACATCCCATCGGCAATGATGATTATAAGCAACCCATGCTGAAAACCCATTCCCAGTCATTCGTTGATGAGCTCGAAAAATTCTTCGGGCGCAAACGACATCATCTTCAATATCTTCATCTTCAAAGGAGGAACAAGGAAGACCACAAGCAAACCCATTTCCTGGAGGCGAACACCAATACAAATGGCTAATTTGAAATAAACCGTGATCCCCGCTCGCTTTATTTACAGCTGAAGTGTTGTAATTAGACTCATGTTCGACGATGCAAATCCACGTAGCTACTTGGTTTATTGGTATTTCGTGTAGATCGACTAATTCACGTGCTAATTCACATCTTTCAAACACTTTAGTTACCGCTTGATTAAAGTAAAAAATACCAATTATGAGAAGAATCTTCTTCGTGTGGATCATTGTTAGTACTGAAAAGGCGAAGAAGAAGATTGGTGCAACAAGCGGTTTATGGAGGACATTGACCTAACTGGCTTTTATAATCACTGATCGAAACGGTTGTAATTAAGATGTCAGTAAAGTATGTTTATGTGTGGATTATGTAATAAAAATGATTTGCAGTGATTATATAAAAATGTGATGTAAGGTCATTGTTAAGGTTACTTTTATTGTGATGATACAGTGGAAAATGAGTCTTTACTTTCAATAAAATAATTTGCAAAATAAGTTATGGTACCGAATTTATCATAACTATCTTTCTGATAAACTAACAAACAGTCGTAACAAAGTCGATCATAAAAGAAAGTTGATCCATAATCAGTGCTATTAGGATTGTCAACATTTTCTAAGTAAGAAGTGAAAAATACCTCAAATCAATATTGACAATGTTCGTTACTAATCTCAATGTTAACACAAATACTAAAGGCGATGGAGAAAAATATTTTGCATACATATTGTTTATAATGAATTAGAAAGACATAATCTTTAACCGGATGTAAAAGAGCTATAGGTAACCATATTCTAGTTAAAAAGTAGAAGCTCCTAAAATATCTAAATTTGTGGTTTTCGCCGGAAAGTGTTAAAATATAATTTGTTTATTATAAATCAAAAATACTTAATGCACAGTTAATATTGTCTAGTTACAAAATGAAAATCCCGAAGATATATATTTGATTTTTTTCGTTATCACAGTCGATTATTATTTCAAAATTAAGAAGGTTGATCCATAATCAGGGTTAGTATAAATATCAGCATTATCAGCATCTAGTTAAGAACTGAAAATCGGAGAAAACATGGGAGTCTTGAAGAATTTCCGAAGAATCATGGAGGAATATATTAAGCACATTTTATCATCGATTAGTACTGTCAAATTAACAACGGAGCAGATTTCGAATAGTTAATTAAGTAGGCATTATGTATTTGCATTACTTCTTCTTTTATTAGTGCCACATCCTGGGTGGGTTTTGAAGTTCACAGTTAATTTTCGCCATTCCGTCCCCTCCTGAAATCACACTCTCCCTCTAGTCTCTTTTCACATCTTCTTCGACATTTTCCAACCACCTTTTCCTTGGTCTTCTCCCCTACCCTTTCTCAAATCCAGCCTGTTGGTTTCCAGTTAATTAGCTCTTTTAGGGTTCGGTTATCGCTCATAGGCACTTTAATCTATGACTTTTTATGAATCCAATGATGTTAGCATCTTCTATTATGCTGTTTAGTTCAGTTCTGTTATGTTTCCGTACACGTGATAGCATCGGTTTCCACTGAAAATTCTTGCTTGTAGGTGACTAAAGCAATGACCAACAAGGTCTGACAAGGTTCTGACCAACAAGGTCATTGCTTTAGTGGTTAAAATGGTTTGTTATAGAGGTACCTAGGTATGAAGATTTTGGTTTTCTGTCCACGTGCATGTATTTTATTTTATGTTCGTTGAATAATAAACCGGTTTCCTTTGATTCATTCTCAATTTTGGCTAGGGTTTTTTAAGAAGCTTCCTGTCCGACTTAATATTATCGCATCGTTGTGTAAAAGCTATTTGGGTGCCTTTGGTACCTATATAATCCGTATTGGCGGCCTTTCTGAGTGATGTTTCTTGTACAACAGTATGGCAGATAGCCTATATCCTTTTCTGACACCAATGTTGATACCAATGATACCGCTGTATAGAGGGTCGCTATAGTTTGGTTGTCTACTATCGCTACTGCCTTGGATTGTTACGTTAATGAGTTCTACGAATTTCTTGGGATCTGTAGACCAAGCATTTTAATGCTACTTACACTGTCGAAGGCTTGGTTAAAATCGATGTAACTTATGTAGAGTTTTATATCCATACATTTTTTCCTGTATTTGCCTAATGGTGACTACATGAGCAGTTGTCGAGCAATTTCGACGAAACCCACATTGATATTCACTGACAAGTAACACTAGAGAAGTTCCATACGGCGATTTTCTTGAAACTTGGCATACAAGTAGTATATGGAAAAATATTATTATGGAACATTGCAGAGTTCACACAAGTTATTGCAGCTTTTGAAACAGAAGTCTGCAGGGGTTTCGCATTTGTCAGGGTTTTCTGCAATATACCCACACTTCCATCAAGCGTATCGAAATATATTCTTAAATCTCGGAGAGGAAAACTGGTTGTGTATTAAAGACTATATTTTGTGGATGTTGTTCCGTAAATATAAATTTAGATCATAATTATACAGCACAACAATGTCAGAAAATGAAGAAATGGCTGAATGAATTCAGTTGTTCCAGCGGGTATCGTAAAAATTTGGATGTTTTTATTGCCTTTATCAATATTGTAATAGTATATTAAAAAACAAGTTTCGTAAGACACGCTTGAAATGCACGAATTCAAGTTGAAAAACGAGTGGCGAAGCCATGAGTTTTTTAATGAATGAGTGCTTTAAGTCTTATGAAACGTGTTTTTTATGCTATTTTTTGTAATTCCCGTTTTTATACTTTTTTTTTTAACAAAAATAAAGTAAATTTTGGCAATGTAGGGAAATAGGTATGTAGCAGTTGGTAACACCGGAACACTTGAAAATAGAAACTTTGAATTGACAATTAGAAACTGCCAAAACACAAAATATATTCACCTGAAAAAAATGTTTGATGTACACCTCCCAAAATAAGAGAAATTGCTCAGAGTCAATGTCCTCATCATTGTGGACCTTGTATTCGATGCTAAGAACGTGTTTAAACATCCATAGACAAAAATTGTCACATTGACAACTAGAAAAATTAATGACCCAATGTTACCAACTTGAACTGGTTCCATAAAATGTTACTAAAATCTCATTACAGCATCGGATGCTGTAAAGGAGTCTCATTACAGCACCCGTTTGAGTACTGTTATAGCTTCCATTACCGTAGCGAATTACAAAAAATTTTTTTTCAGTCTGGCCATTCCAAGGATCTACCAAAAGAACAGAGTTTTCCCGGCTGTTTGGTAAAAAAACGTGTTTGACCCAATTAATGACAAGATCGGATGTTAATTTGTCTGATTTTGTTGCAAATACAGCAATATTGTCTGCTTTGTAGAAAGTTTTTACATACATCCCTACTTGTAGTGATGATTTTCCATGATTTGTTAGTGTTAGGGGTAGTTTTTGATATTAACCGTTTCCTAAAAATCCGCCTTAAAATTATCCTTATTTGTTAAAGTACATTTTTTTAAATTTTTCGCAATTTTTAAAAAGATGCCCGTTCCGTTCTGTCCTCCATTTTGAATTCTCGAAAACGGATATCAGATTCGTCATCAGCGACCTCAAAAATCCCTAGTGACATAATTTCGCAACAATCGTAAAAATAATTCGTAAACTAATCGAACATATCACCAAAATCGGAAAGGGTGATTTCTACCCTTAAAACGGCGATCGGGCAGAAATGACAATGACGTGTCGAATATTTTTTCATACCCTACTTGTATGCCAAGTTTCAAGAAAATCGCCGTATGGCACTTCTCTAGTGTTACTTGTGAGTATTTCTTCTGCGTAATCAGTTAGCCTATTATGTATTATGTCTGATAGAATTTTATAAGTAACGTTATTGGTCTATAGTTAGATGATTCATTGCTTTTGGTGTATCCAGATATTCTTGATTAAATTGTGAACCCTGTCTAAAAGGTGTTTGCGTCCATGTTTCAATAATTTATTTGTTATTCCATCCGATCCTGATGCCTTATGGTTTTTCAAACTTTTAATTATCCGTAATACGTTCATCATCTGTGGGTACTTTGCCTTCGGGTTTGGCAGTATATGTCGTCGTCTGTTCTTGATAGCCTTCCATTTTGGCTTTCCTTCGTTGTTCTTATGCATTTCTTCTTAAATTTTCGCGTTTATTCTTTAACTTTTCTATAAAACCTTATGCACCTCCCTTTTGGCCAGTTACTATTCTTCCTGCGACACTCTCTGATGGCTTCTATTCTTTTTCTATTATATTTATGTTGGTTGGTTCTTGTGATTCTTTGAATACATGTTTGTGTGGTATTTCATTTTGCTTGCATAGTCACCCTACATACTTCGTCCTACCACTCACTTCTATTGTTTCTCTTTTCTTTTATTATATTAGCTTTTGTCGTAATAATAATAATTATAATAATAATAATATGTGACCATTCTTCTTCTATGTTGTTCGAGTGTCTTTTCCTTTATAACCGATGTCGTATTTCTTCCTCATAACTATGTTTGATTTGGGCGTCATTGACCTTTTCTGTGTTCCATTGTCTACGTGTTTCGCTATTTGTTTTTTCAAAAAATCCAATTTTGCTCTATATTTGTTCTGATCAAAAAGTGATCAGAATCTGAGTTATCTCCAAGTAGCTTTCTTACATTTTCTATGTCTATTACCCATCTCATTGGTATTAATACGTGGTCTATTAGGTTGGTGTCTTTGGTTCCTGGTGTTGTCCAAGTACCTTTGTAAATATTTGTTCTGTCAAACAATTTACTGACAACAACAAATTTGTTTGTGGCAGCATGTTGTATTAGTCGATGTTCGTTGTTATTTGTATTTCCATGTAAACTGTGTTTCCTAACGATATCTTTGAATATTGGCTCTTTTCCAAGTTTTGGACTTTGTACGATTACTATATAGTCGTCAGCGAAACATAGTGTGTACATGAAGCTGTCGTTTAGCGAATTACCAACACTTTTACATTTTATTTTCAACTGTTTTTGCGTTTGCTCTGGATATATCTTGAAAAAAGCAGCTTGAATCCTTTAGTGATGTGGAAGCCATTCGATAGTGTCTGTCTCATCGTGATTTTAGCTGCTGCTTATTGGTATGATTTTCCTACTGCCTTTATTATAATCGCACTGGTGTTCGTTCTTTCGATTACTTTCCACAATTTTCTCTCTGGCTGTTCTAAGCTTTCTTAGATCCATAATCACTAAAGGTAGTCTTCCAACCTGAAATCCTGCCTACCCCTCTGATTCTCGGAGCAGCGGATCTTGTAATATAATTTTTGTAATTCACGACGGTAATGAAAGCTATAACAGTACTCAAACGAGTGCTGTAATGAGATTTTAGTAACATTTTATGGAACCAGTTCAAGTTGGTGTCATTGGGTCATTAATTTTTCTAGTTGTCAATGTGATAATGTTGGTCTACGGATGTTTAAACACGTTCTTAGCATTAAGTATAAGGTCCACAATGATGAGGACATTGAACTCTGAGCAATTTCTCTTATTTTGGAAGGTGTACATGAAACATTTTTGTCAGGTGAATACATTTTGTGTTTTGACAGGTTCTTATTGTCAATTCAAATTTCTATTTTCAAGTGTTACGGTGTTACCAACTGCTACATACCTATTTGCATACATTGTCAAAATTTATTTTATTTTTGAGAAGAAAAAAAGGATAAAAACGCAAATTACAAAAAATAGCATAAAAAACACGTTTCATAAGACATAAATCACTCATTCATTAAAAATTAACTTGAATTCGTGCATTTCAAACGTGTCTTACGAAACTTGTTTTTTAATATACTATTATATATCATGGACGTCATTGCTACCGCTGTAGTTGTCGCAGTTTTGTCTGCCTCCCTCTTTATATATGAAGGATACAAAGGCGGTTATCCATATATACACATATATACACTTTACATACTTTCGCGACGTCCTTTATGGTTATTCTGATCGGGGTGCCATTATATTCCTTCTCTTATTCCTTCAGGAAGTTCGGTCTATCTTTTGTTAGTAAATTCTTTAAGTATTCGTCCAATTTTTCGAACGTTATTGGTGATATTAGGTCTCTTGTCTTACTCTGTCTTACGGATTTGAGGATTTCCAAACCTTCACCATTATTTTTTTCTTATTGCATCCTCTATTTCTTCGTTCCATCAATATGGAACTCTAATTTGTAGGTTTTCCTTGTATCCCAGAGGTTCCTTATAAAGTGGTAGTGTTCTTCGTGATATTGTATGTTTTATAGTTTTTCATCTAGTGTTGCTTTATTCAGTTTGTGGGTACTTTCATCAATTATGCTGTGCTCTCCACCTTTTTCCGTGTCTGTCCCTCTTTCGCGATTCTTTGGGAACACTATAGTTGCTCTTAATCTATACACTCTCACGTCTTGTAAATTTAGATTTGTTTTTGTCTCGTTGTGTAGTTTGTCATTGACTTTAGATTCTTACGTTGTGGGTAATAAATGAATGTAGTAAATTCTTTTTCTAAAAGGAAACAATTTGAATCATCCTGTGATCATCAAAAGGAAAGTATATCACTTTTCCATTCGTTGTGATAATTAGGAAATGAAAACATTTTCGCGGTAAATTATTACAAACAAATTCATCATAATAAGTTGGTATACATAATGTAATAAGTCGTTATAAATGTTATAATTAAAAATAATAATAATAAATGCATTCAATTAAAACACCACATTTAATATATTAAATATTCTTTACAAAAATCTTATAATTCAAATCTAATAGACAATGTTTTAGAATTCAAAGTTTTTCCCGTCTTGATGCTAAAATATAGTATTGTTCAAAAAATATATCTTGATTAATCTATCTTTAAATACTACTTCTATTTCAAGTACGTTGTGGTATTTTTGCGCGTAAATGCATTTTTTAATTATACACAATTGATTCTGCATTTTGAGATTATGAAGATAAAAGTTTATCGCCTATCATTTTTACACACTTTTCCGCCATAAATACATCCGAATTTGGCAACGCATATCCTAGTTTTGTTCGTGGCGAGATCTAGTGTCATCATCCTTTAACATGGGTTGCTGCAAGCCACGTACTATTGCGTTAAGCGTATCTGCAGTCGGAATTGTTTTACTTATAATTGGTTGTGTTTTGGGATTCGGCGTTATTCCTGGTATTATCGATGATCAAGTTGCCGAAGTAAGTTAAAGATATTTACTTATTTTACCCGAAAAGTATATGAAACCTGGATTAGTTTGTTCGTGAAATTAGAGGAAATATTAAAGCAAAATATTTTCTTTTAAATACAGAATGTTCAACTTATCGAGGGTAGTGAAGCATATGAAAGGTGGGAAGAAACTCCAGTGGTTATGAAATTCAAGGTACATATTTTCACTGTAACGAATCCTGATGATGTAATAGCCGGAGGAACACCAAAAGTGGAAGAAAAGGGTCCTTATGTATACGAGTAAGTATTCATGTAATTAATTAAATACGAATAACAAGATCATTTATTATTTCAATAAAATTTTAGTTTATATCGCAAAAAAGAAGATATAGCGTTCATTGAAGAAGATGACGCTTATGAATATATACAAAATACATACTTTGAATTTAATAAAGACGAATCACAAGGTTTGACAGAAGAGGACGAAATAACTGTTTTAAATGTCGCACAACAGGTATAGTGTTAATTGATATAATATTCAGTTCATATAACCAATGTAATATTGTTTAGGGTGTCTTGCAAAAAGCGGAAGATATGTCAACTACGGAGCAATTCATGATAGAATTGAATATGGATAACATATTCACAGACACCCCTAATACACTGTTTCATACTATAACTGTAGGAGAATTCTTGTTCGGTGGCTACAAATTCTGTGATCATGTTCCAGCAGGTACTGCATTAGTTTGCAATAAAATCAAAGCACAAGCAGAGACTGTAGAAACAATTACTTTGGTGCCGGATGAAGATGATGAGTCGAAATACACTCTTCTGTTTGCGTTTTTCAAACACGTGAGTATACTTTTCTTTTGTCAGTTGATATATACGAATACACATATTGTTATAGAAACAAAATAAAAAAGATGGGCCGTATGTTGTAAAATCTGGTATCTCGGACGCAAATGAAGTTGCTGAGATAATCAGTTGGAAAGGCCTAAAGGAATTGGATTTCTGGGGTAACGAAACTGATAACATCTGTAACAAAGTTAGAGGAAGGGATTCTTCAATCTATCCACCCTTCAACGACGAGGATACTGTGCATGAAGTTTTCAATACCGACATTTGTAGAATTTTAACATTAAATTATGAAGGAGAAGGAACTTACAAAGACGTTGATGGTTTTGTTTCAACACTCAACGTTAATAATCTTTTGAATAGAGATGAAGGAGAATGTTACTGCGTAAAAAATATAAGAAATCTTGACGGCGAAAAGGATTGTTTACCTGACGGATTTGGTGATTTATCGCCATGCACAGGTAATTTCTTTATAATTTAAACTCTATATATCGGATTTGTACTAAAATATTCTATTTTCAGGTGCAACTGTTATTATGTCATTCCCACATTTCCTAGACGCAGACGAGACTTATGCTAACACTGTTGAAGGTCTCTCTCCAGATCGAGATCTTCACAAAACTTATGTTCTTATGGAACCTGTAAGACTAAAATTACAAATAGCCAAATATAATTTAATGAATTGATTTTATTTGAATTTAGAAAACCGGAAGTCCGCTTCAAGGAGCCAAACGAATGCAATTTAATATGATTCTTCGACCAATAAAGGCTTTTGATCGTACTAAAAATCTTAAACCGTCTGTTTTACCACTTCTATGGGTGGAAGAAGGTGTTGCACTAACAGATGAATTAATTGAAAAACTCAACGAGCAATACTTTGATAAATTAGTTATGGTAGATGCCATTGTGTACACCCTTATCGCCGTAGGTGCTGTGTTAGCTATCGTCGGTGGTGTAGTTTTCCTTATCAAAAAATAAATTAATTATTTTTAATTAATTTAAAATTTATTTGTGTATCGTGTAATTAATAGAAATATCTACATGATGATATTATTTATTACAATTTGTAAATAATAATAAAATATCTTTTTTATACTGACTTTTTAGCATTATTTTCTTAGAATTTGTAATATACAAACTTACTTGTACTGTTCCATACAAATAAGTAAAAAACTTTCTATCTGGACTACTTTTGTGGGAATATGATGTTTCATTCTGAAACAACAATACAGGTTCTACTATACAGGGTGCCCATTATGTATGGAATATAGCATATTGCTTGGTAGGTATCAACTTTATAAAAAGACATTTTATACAAAAGTTGTTTAATATTTTATTTGCCATAATAAGACTGCATTCAATTATTTTTAATTCAGAAAACAACTGAGTAACGAATAATACTTAAATTTTTTTAAATGGCAATGTATTCTTTTGTTAGGCTCATTTGATAGAGATTACTTTTCTCTTTACGATAGCGTACAATTTTTCTACCCTTACATCAGAAAATTTTTGCAAAAAATGTAAAAATTGTTTATTAATAAAAATTAATCAATGACATTAATCTAGATATCCGAGATCGTCAAGTACCTCGAATTATTACCGTAAATTAAATTTACATACAAAATAAAACAAATAAACGAAAAATTAGTGTACATCTCCAATAATTCGAGGTACTTGACGATCTCCGATATCTAGATTAATGTTATTAGTTAAATTTTCTTAATAAACAGTTTTTACATTTTTTTCAAAAATTTTCTAATATAAGGGTACTAAAATTTTACGTCATCGTAAAGAGAGAAGAAATCTCTATCAAATGAGCCTAACGAAAGGGTACATTGCCATTTAAAAAACTTCAAGTGTTATTCGTTGATCATTTGTTTTCTGAAATAAAAACAATTGAATGCTGTCTTATTATGGCAAATAAAATATTAAATAACTTCTGTATAAAATGTTTTTTTATAAAGTTGATACCTACCAAGATATATACTGTGTTCCATACATAATGGGCATCCTGTATATTTATTTATTTACAACCATCACTAACGATAATTCAAGAAATATATGTATTTAGTAGAGTCCGGAATTTATGCAAATTGCATATTATTTACCGCTGATAGTACGATTAAATGCTGTGAATTGGAATTGAATGACGCCTATTAATTTTTACATATTTGGCATATTTCTAAGTTTTTCGCATATTTTTGCATATATTGCATATTTTCATATATTTTACAGTATTATAAGTTTTGAAAATACAACATCGATTCCTTATTTATTACTTGGGGTTTAATTCATATTATGGTCAACTCATATTATGGTCAACCGTCGCGACGCACTGTCGGGCGTCGCACGTTCGTGATGCGGGTCTTTATGTAGCTCTCGTCTACAATAAAAAATGATGTCCACGAAGTTAAATTTATTTGAAAACACATCATTTTACGAGTCAATCTTAAGCTGTTCGGATCTCTTTTCAGTTTTTGCTTTGTATGTACAAACTTTTAAGTATTTCAAAAATGCCGAAGGTGAAAAATTATTTGGATAAAAGCAATTCCTGAACTTATTCTGCAAGAAGAAAATGTGTTTTTAAAGCATGTGGTAAAACGGTAAGTTTATATTTGTCATATTTTTCAATGTAAATTTAAATAAAACTAATAATTACACTTTATAGAGTCTAGATTAAAATTATAATCCATTCTACTAGTTTGAATTGTAGTTGCGGCTGTAAATAATGGAAACGTACTCCTATAACCACTGACCAATTAAAGAACTGAGAACGTTTCCATTATTTACACCTGTAATTTAAATCACGCTTTTATTTAAGTCATCCTTAAGATTTATTAAATAATTAAACTATGGTTAACGATGAGGCAATTTTATTAATTTTTCAGTGCTACATATGTTTCGGAAATTTCTTTCCTTCTTCAATCACGACGTCAGATCTCAGAGGAACTCCTTTTACGTTATAACCAAATTTTATTTATTAAGAAATAACAAAATAATTTAAAATATGACATGCTCTTCAAGCCATAAATAATTTTTATCACATTTTTTTTCATTTACGAAAATTTTTCAAATTTGTCCAGGAATTAAACTAAACTCCTAAAGTAGAAATGAAATTTAATTATAAAAAGGAGTTCCTCTGAGATCTGACGTCGTGCCTGAAGAAGGAAAGAAATTTCCGAAACATATGTAGCACTGAAAAACTAATAAAATTGCCTCATCGTTAAATTATTTAATAAAATTTACGATGAACACCGAATCTACTATATCTAAATCCTTAAGATTGTTGTTGTAATTTTGAATACTTTTCTTAATCTATTTTATTCCATGGGTTTTATATTAAATTAACTTTGTATGGCTAAAGTCGATTCCAAAATGTTTGTTTCTTACTCTTAAGCTTTTGTTGCAGGTTGCTTGTGACCGCAAATCTCAGATCACGCAACATGTTGCTACCGATTTACATAAGAAAAAAACTCACCAACTTAATCAAACTAAAATGGCTCAACAATCTTTGAAGCAAGCTATTCAACCAGAAACAACCAAAAATGAGCAGCAAATATTTAATGCAGGATTATGCAAAGCCTTCTTGGCAGCCAACATTTCATTTCAAAAATTGCAAAATCCTGAATTAAAAAAATTTTTAGAACAGTATTCTGGGCGTACTGTACCGGATGAAAGTACTTTGCGCAAGGGCTACGTAAATGAAGAGTATGTTAAAATAATTAGGACTATCAAAGAAGTAGTCAAAAACCACTACGTATATTTAATAGTTGACGAAACTACCGATTGTTGTGGAAGATATATTGCGAACTTGCTGATAGGTATTGCAATTTAATTCATGTGACGTGCTTAGATCATGGTTTAAATAGAGTAGCAGAGGAAATTAGGAATCAATTTCCAGACGTAAATGCGTTAATTAGCAATGTAAAAAAAAATATTTTTGAAGTCTCCCCTCAGGATCCAATTATATAAGGAAAAATTGCCTAATGTTAATCTACCACCAGAGCCTGTCATTACACGGTGGGGTACCTGGTTAAATGCTGCAACATTTTATGCCTTACATTTTACGTCTATAAAGGAATTAATCATGGATTTTGAGGAGGAAAATAATCAAGCAATTAAAAAATGTAAAGCACTATTAAAAAAAGCGACATTAGGTCCAGAATAATAACTCATAATTACTTTCTTCAAAGTAATTATGAGTTTGTCAGTAGGATTACTTTAAATTTAGAAACGCAAGCAATGTCACTAAATGAGTCTGTTGGATTAATAGAGGAATTTGAGACTGGTGTTAAAAAAGTAAATGGTAAAGTAGGCCAAATTATTAACAAAAAGTTTTATGAAGTATTAGAAAAAAATCACGGTTATATATTGTTATCAAAGGCGACTAAAATAATGAGTGGATATTTAAGCGATCAGGTTAATATTGCGCCAAATTTAATTAGTAACTTTAAATATGCACCCATAACATCTGTAGATGTAGAGAGGAGTTTCTCGAGCTACAAACAGATACTGTCTGGTAGACGACGTAACTTCTTAGTTGAGAACATTGAAAAATATATAATTGTAAACTATAACATTACTGCAGGTATTTAAATATTTATATATACATCGATTTTTATGTATGCTGAAGTTTGTAGTTGCCTGTTTATAAATATATTTTATTTAGTTGTATTTTTTTTTATTTTAATAAAATAGAGTTTTTAAATGTTTAGATGTTATTTTGAATTGAACCTATTAAAAAAATACCGACTTTATATATAAATTAATATATTATTTTAACATTAGTACAAAATGCATGCATATATTAACATAAACTTTGCATATTTTTATATGAAATTTGCATATTTTCTTATATTTACTCTATATATATGCGCATATTTTGCATAAATTTTGTGCATAAAATTCCGGACTCTAGTTATTAGTTTGATAATAACTGTAAAACACAATGTTTATTATCAAACAATAATAACTGTTAATATTATTGTTGATTAGAATAAGTACGAACGGTTTCACGGCCGGTGTTAATTAAACTAAAACTAGAACTTACACTAGATCTAGATCTACAAATATTCGTGTTAAGCCGTTGGTCTTTTGGAAAAGTGGCACAAAGTGTTTTTTTTTAACTGTAATAGCATGACATCCGCAACGTCAAACACTTTTTCAAAAGACTCACGGCTTAACCCGAAGGTTTCTAGTTCTAGGTCTAGTGTTATTTCTAGTCTACTGTTAATTTTAGTTCTAGTTCAATTATTGATTAGTGTTTATTATAGCTTTTTCTGTGTATCCATAATTAATTATTGTCATAGTTAATAATAATAATAATATCTATTCAACCACGTGGGCTACATAAGTAGATGTGACAAGTCAGTGTACAGGGTGGGCAAATTTGGGTGTTATTATAGGCTATCTCAGAAACTATAAGAGATACGAAAAAAGTAGGTGCCATGTCCCGGTCTTTTTTTTCGATACTAACCCAATTCTGCAAACACCAAACCTCTACCTTCTTTTGTTTTTAAGTTATAGCCAAAAAGTCAAATTTTCGTGATTTCAAAAAATGCTCATATTTCGTTTATTTTTGAAATTAGAGAAATGGAGTTGATACGTTCTTAAGACACTTTTTTAAGTAGAATATACTACCGTTGAAAAATTTTAAAAATATTTGATGATTTTAGAGATACAACACAAAGTTGTATTTTTTTAAATACAAACTATAGTAGATTATGTTGTTACTGAAAAGAGCATATTTTTAGCTTTCCAATGATGTATTGCACGCATGGTGTATTTGGGGAAAATAAGCGTTATTTTTCAATTCCAAAATAGTAAGCGCTAAAGTTCAATATTTTGATTATAGTAGGCGGGTTCGGACAGTAATTACTAGGGCCCGGAACTTTTGTAACGGTACGATACGATTTACCCCCTCCACTTGTTCTCCTAGAAAATGATCGGTTGTTATTGACGACCGACGATCGGTTTTTTATTGCGCATCAATGTCAACATTGTCAACTGTCAGTACGATTTCACTGTTGTCC